TAAAAGGAGTCCGGCATGTCCGAGTCTGAGTATTCATCCTGTACAGAGCTTGAGAAATTTTGTGAGATGAATTCTGAATGGGAAGAGTGAAAAGTACCTTCAGAAGAAGAGTCTGAGTTGGAAGATTTCCTTGATTCAGTAGTTGCTGGTGCTGCATGTCTCCCAGGATCACAATGGGCATATGCTCTGATGCTTGCCGGCAAGATTGTTGGGTGAAAATCATTACCTAAGAAGTCATCCATGTGGTAGTCATTAGAGTCATAACCAGCACCATATGGAACATCACCATTCTCTCATTTGTCTCCGCCCCCATCACCGCCATCATTGTCTCAATCATCTTCATCATAGTCTCCTGGGGATCCTGTTGGATGCCATGCTACTGGCTCATCCTCATCAACCTTCATCAACTGAAAGCCATCTTGTATAAAATTATCTGGGACATTTTCATAAAAATGAAGCATATGCAAGTATTTGTCTTCCCTTATTCTGGTGCAGTGTTTCTTTTTGTGGCCGTGTGCTCTCATAGCAGCAGTGAACATTGGCTTATTAGAGTCAATTAAAAGTGGGGATTTATTCTTCACCGCCTTTTCCATGAAGTATGTATCCAAGAACTAATTCAGTTCAGCCTCATCTGACATGTAGCTGGATGGCCTAGACGACCACAACACTTACAAAATTTGTGTATATTCTCATATTTGCATCGGATTTTTCCTAATTTTTCATTTCGTTTTGTGAAATGAAAACTAGGTGTGAGGGGATTACCTAGTTCCACCCATACTATGGCTCGAATGTAGGTCGCCTTTCTCAATAATACACAGTTTTCCTTGATTACTGCAATTTCTCCTACCCTCTGAGCTACATCTCTGGCTCCCAAGTAGTTGAGAGAGGTGATTGGGGGACCATGCACTCGCACCCAGAGACTGAGTTTGGTGATTCTGATGTTGTCAAGGTTGAGATCTTCGTTATCGTAACATCTGCGAAGCACCAGTAATTCCCTATTGAGTGATTATGGTCCATTATCCAGCACTGTCAATAGATCAGCTCTGGATACAAACTTAATGATGAATTCCGATCAAGGTGCAATATGAGTATCCAAGACCTCTCTATCATCCAGGAGATATCCAAGGAGAGATAGCTTGAGATTCTCATGGGACAATCAAGTGTTGTTGTCATTGAGTGGAACATTCTTCGATTGAAGGTGGGGCTGGGGTGTGGATTAGTTGTGGATTCACAGTCCGCTCAACCTACTATGCAGCTCTTGAATCGGATTTCTCCCCATTCACGCATGATTCAGTAGCAGCGGTGTCTTCCCCCCCGCCACCAATCTGGAAATAAATTTAGAAATTGAAGGTTCAACCGAGATTACACCACTTCCTCTGGTCAGACTGTAACGAAACTCTGCCTTCGCCTGAAAAGCTCAATCGACGGCATCTCCCTCAACCGGCAGAATGCATAAACTGTGACGGCACCGATGTAACGACGAAACATCTCTTTTTCGGATGCCCTTTTGCTTCGGAAGTCTGGCGCATTTCCTCCACGACAAATACAGTATGGCAGCACGAGAAGGAAAATGGTGGTGAATGGATCACATTGCTCATCTCAATCCTGGACGTGAAAGAGGCTGAAATGGTTGCCACACTCCTCAACTGTTTTTGGTTTTGGAGGAACAGATTACTCCACGAAAAAGAAGCCTTGAGTCCAGCTTCCACGGTCTTAATGGTGGGAAAGATGCGTCGAAATTTCCTTAATTCTAATGCTTGGCCAGAACGTTTACCAGAGTCCTTACAAACTCATCCTCTTTTGGGTAGACCACTGGACGGGCCGAAAATTTGGTTTGGTGGAGGAATATCTCGCTTACATCGTTGTGTGGGGATTGGGGTTTGGTATGCAGATTCGGAAGGAAACTTTGTAAAGGAAAAATCAAAAAAGGTCCAGGGTATTTTGGAATGTGAGGAAGCCGAAGCCTTGGCTCTGAAGGAGGCGTTGTTTAACTTGGCAAATTTCTCCATTTGTGGTGATGCTCTCAATACTATCGTGGAAGCCCAAATTGTGATATCAAATGGCGTTGAGTTAAACCCGACTATGGAATTAATTCGTCCGCTACTTACCCAGGTTCATCCTTTGGGGATTTTTTGGATCTGTAATAACAACATAGCACATGAATTAGCTTCCCTAGCAAAGAATAGTTCTGATGAATGTACTAACTGGTTAGAACTACCAGTAACTATCAGTCAAACACAGCTGGATGATTTCCAGTAATCTTAATGTAACTCGCTCTTTTTACCCTCAAAAAAAAAAAAAAACCTCTTCGGATTGCCAAGAAAAAAGGATAAACTCATCAGTTGCATATTACTTTTGGATTAATTAAAAAATTTAACAGATATCCTAATATTACACATTCTTGAAAAGTTTTGAGATTTAAATGATATGCTCTTAAACTTTGAAATATTTTGGATAGTGTGGCTCAAACTTTGAGATGAAAATGCCCATTCTGTCTATAACAAAATTACTCTCAATACATCAGTTGCTTGCTCCCATTCATTCCCGACCCAAAAATCCGGCCATCACATAACTCTAGTTCACATCTATTAAACCTATCCCTAAAAATCAGCAGTAAATTATCTCTAATCAAATCCCAAAATCAGGATAATTCCATCTATGAATGCATTTCAAGTCCCCGCACTCATTGTAACAGCATTTCAAGTTGACAAATTTGGAACATTTAGATCACTATTTTGTATTTTTTTCACATTTAGTTTCCTTTATACAATTTTATTGTAATTACTCTAATTTTTATACATGTAAAAACTAATATGAAGATGTAAGAATGAATACATCATAATGCCGTTTACAATGACATAAAAAACTATATGATAGGCTACATTTTCATTTCGCTCATTTCGCTCTCTTTTAAATTCTTTGTATACATTTTGTTCCATTTAAATTTTTTTTTTATATACAAACAAAAATACATTAGTTTACTACATAACAGTGCGATGCATGGGTCTAGAATCTAATTTATGATGATAGATAATAAAGTTCTGACTTATTTTTTGACGAATGAGGAAAGGAGTTGAAGAGGCCTAAAAACTACACATACACAATTACAATAACATATTGTCTGATATTTTACTTGATAGCTCATTCATGTGAATTAAATGACTCAGAAAAGTTGCAGTTTAAAAAACTTATAATATGTTTGGATCATTTTTTTCATTGTCTTCAGTATAAACCCATTATAAAATCGACCATTGGCTCTTGTTTTCTTTAAATTATAGTAATCTCATTCTAATTAAGCATTTCGGTTATTATCTTTCATCCTCCCAAGATCGACGCAAAACTCAATTATATCTTGACTTACTTATTACTAATAATGGTCTAATTAATCATCCAATCCACGTACTGACAAACCCTCATCCCGATTCGAAAAAAGAAGTAAACACGTTATCTTTACACAATGGAGAATTGACTTTGCTGCCAAAGTCAAATGTCAAATATTTTTGTAATCAACCGGGAGGCCAAATTTCATACAAGTTGCCATGTTAAAACATGGAACAACTAGCAATTTTCTGCGGAAAAGGCATCTTGGCCTAATAGGTCAGAGGTGGAAATCCATGTGAATGTGCACCTTCCTCCAGATGATTAATTATCATCTTAAGACCAGAAAATATGTATGTTCTTGAAGTTTTCATTGATTATATGGTCAAACAAAACTTTAGTTTTGCATATATAATGAAAGCTAGAGAGACGATACTTCGGACATTGAGATTAGTATTGTAGATAGGAGAAGAATTCAAAGATGAGAAACGTAAAAACAGAACTGGAAGCAAGCCAACAGTCTCAAGATTGTGATTTCACAATGATATGAACCTCATATTGGTGTGAAACTCTTTCGTTGTGACTTCTAAATAATAATTAAAGAAAATTGCTGAAAATTTGATAGAAATGCTTCCCATTATCCCCACCTTTAATTGCTGCTGAAACCATTTCATTCTTCTTTTTGCATTTTGTTTTCTAATAATAGAAGACTTGAATGGGCGTTGACTTGGCAATATTGTGATTAGGCAAGTTGGATCTATGTGAAGTGTTCTTTTTTAATATCTGTCACGTCTCTCCAACTCCTTATATGAGAGGCACTCTGTTCCAACATTTTTACGCAATGAATTTTCATAGATGTGGAGAAGAGAGAAGGCTAACGATTCTATATATGTTTATTGAGCATTTGGATTTGATGGATTAAAGATTGACTATAAGCATCTTAGTTGGTCTAAAAGATTAATTGTTGACTTGAACATAAATAAATGTTGCTTATCCACTAATATTCAAAAAATAAAATAAAAATAAAATCATGCAACGCACAAGAATAAAACTATATACGGTTATCACCATCTTTGGAACTGTGTTTCCATGTTCCAAAATTGTGCCGATAATCTTTTTTCTTATTCCCCAAGTGTCTTATATATGAATGCGAATATCATTGTTGTTTCATACAACATAGTACAGAACTCTACATTCCTTGCATTTTAGTTTGTGAAGTGAAAAGGTAATAAATTAATAAAATTTGTTGTCATTACAATTTCATGGTTCTAATTTAATTTAGTTTTAATATATATAGATATATATTAAATTATTTTATATTCCATTTGTCCCGATGGAAACAAAAACAGCGTAATATACATAGGTCTTTTTTTTCCCCCTTGACGGATGCAACAACGTCCCCTTCAAAAGAATGACGTGAGGTTTTATAGACAAAGCTAATAAATTGGTATTAGTATGAAAATTTTATAGTCATACTTACATTTTTGTTTTATTATAAATATCTCTTAAATGACAAGAAATATCTTTCATTTTTCCTGGTTTGTAAATCTAGTGCTCAATGTACAATAACTACCAAACCTAAACAGAAAGAGTACGAGTACAAAAGTAAAAGAAAAAAATGAATATATATATATATATATATATATATATATATATATATTCATTCGCCAACTGATGTCCTGGTTTAACTTTAAAAAAAAAATGAAAAGAAAAGAAAAAGACGTGCATTTTAGTCAAGCAGAAAATAACACAACCTTCTCCCCCAAGTTCCAACTATAAATAACTGTTTCTCAAAAACCGAAACTCCAAACTCTTAAAAACCCCGCGAAAGAAGATAGTAAAATCCAAAGAAAGAAAAGGGCAAAAAAAAAAAAAAAAGAAATGTCTGGGTATCCCTACAGTAACAGTTACGGTGCACCATCACCCTACGGTGCTACTCCGCCACCGTCCGCCAACTCGCCCTACGGAGCACCACCGTCGTCCGCCCAGCCCTACGGCGGCGGCCACGCTCCCGTAGGTACATCGTACTACGGAAACCCTTCTGCGCCACCATACTCGGACCACCACACTAAGCCTCCCAAAGAAGGCAAACAGTCCTCCGCCCCATACGGCGGCGTCGCCGGAGCGCCGCCACCTTCAGTTCCTTACGGTGCTCCACCGCCGCCTTCGGGTCCTTATGCTAACCCTTTTGCCGCTTTGATGCCTTCTGCTTTCCCGCCGGGTACTGATCCCAGCATAATATCTTGCTTCCAAAGTGCGGATAATGATAGGAGTGGGTTCATTGATGATAAGGAGCTCCAAAGGGCACTTTCGTCATATAATCAGAGTTTCAGCTTGAGGACTGTTCATCTTCTCATGTATACCTTCACCAATTCCAACGTCCGGAAAATTGGTAATACAATATGTTTCCTTTTACCCCAACTCTTTTTTGACAATCAACTTGGTTAATTTTCTTTATTACTAGTATTTTGTGTTTTCTTGTTGAAGAAGTTGGGATATTTGAAATGGATTTGGTCCCTGAATTATGGTGTGATCATTTCAGGGAGATCGTTGACTTCTGATGTATAAAAACATATCATGGTTTAAAATGAAGGGTCATGTATATTCTTCCTGGTTTCATGAAATTTGGTTCGCTAGATCATAACTTGAGAACCTTAATTTGTTGGAAGGCCTAAATGAGATTGTTGAATAATAGGTTGAATTCATTATTACGTATATATCATGCATTATGATAACTTTTGAACTCATTAATTGGGATTCAATAATTGAATTTAGGATTGGAATTGTACATGCATTTGGGTCGGATGATGATTAAGACTTAGTTACAACTTACAATGACAGAAAAAAAAAAAAAAAAAACTTAGTTACAATGAAGTTGTTGATCGGAAGAAGAATGGTATAAATGCAAACCTCCATTTATTAGAATGGATATACACATCCTCGTTATATTTTAATTTGTCATAATTTTTATTTAGTATGTTGGTTTAATTAAAAATAAAATTTCAAAAATATTTTTATAATAATTTGAAGAACACTAAAACTATATTTTTAAATTTTTTTTTTAACCAATGTGAGAAACATACTAGATAAAATTTAAGACAAATAAACTATCTTATTTAATATATATAAGACCGAGGGATGGAGTCTTAATCTTGATTTTCAACTGCACGTATTTTATCACGTCCGCGACAACACCTAATTTCACTAAGTTCGTTTGAACGGGTTTTCCCTTTTGGCAATTAATTATTGCGTTAGTTGAAATGCTAATATTGAAACAGATTTTTTTCTTTATTTTATATCATAATCAGACATCCCATTTTATTTTTGTGTTTGTGCTTTATCTTTAACTTTTGGACCTTATATTGTAAACAGGTCCCAAGGAGTTTACCCCACTTTACCATAGTCTTCAAAACTGGAGGGTAAGAGCACACTTGCTAGTATTTCTCGTCTTAAAATTATTGTACATTTGTGTTTGTTATATTTTTGAAACAGAAAAATATATATATATATATATATATATCTTGAGCATTTGCGTGTTGTTACTTTAGGCAACTTTTGAGAGATTTGACAAAGACAGAAGTGGCAAGATTGACGCCACTGAGTTGAAAGAGGCACTATTTAGCCTGGGATTTGCTGTAACACCGGTGGTGTTGGATTTGCTGGTGTCTAAATTCGACAAAACCGCCGGGAAGAACAAGGCCATCGAATACGATAATTTCATCGAGTGCTGCCTCACGGTGAAGGGTTTGACGGAGAAATTCAAGGAGAAGGATACGGCGTACACCGGCACCGCAACTTTCGGCTACGAGGCTTTCATGTTAACGGTTTTACCTTTTCTGATCGCTTAATGTTGTTGTAAATTAAGCGCAAATCTGATTTGATCATTTTTATTTGTTTGGGTTGATGTTATCTTGTGTTTTGTTACATTTTCACTTTCGCTTTTGTAATACTGATTTCTTATCTTGTCTTGTCTTTTTTTTTTCCGAACTGTTTTGAGATTTGTTGTTTTATTTTGTTATTATTACCACATTCGGTACCGAATGATATGAATTTTCAGTCACATACAATTATATGATGTTTATTATTTGTTCATAAACAAGGTTGTGTTTAGTCACACGTAGAAATCATGAGCATTCAGGATCCTGGTGTTTAGATCAAGAATAATCTTTTGGAATGTAAAGAACTAAAAACCACACTTACTGACTAAAAAGATTTTCCTGGGTCTCATAATGGAAGAATCGGGGGTTTAATCTTTTTTATAAAACAAATTCATTTATAAAATTGATGAAAAATTAAGTTGATTTTGGACTCAAAAAACAAAAGCAAATCCCTTTTACCCCATTAAAGCAGAAGACATGAAGCTTATGTGGCAACTAAGTATGCATCGGTTTTGGCTCCAATGCACCATATTTCAGATTTCAGGAGTCTTTTTGTCACGTGTAAGTTTTTTTTAATTAGAAGTTATATAATTTTTTTTTAAAAAAAAAAGCACATGTTTTACTACGAATAAGGATCAGTTACATTTCAAACGAATGGATATATTAATTCAAATTCAAATGTCCAATCGTATAGTTTTGCAAGCTTAATATAAACAAAAAATAAAAATATCTAAATCCAGCAATTAAGAATAATGTCTTATAAACTAATTATGTATTATTCCCTTATAACCTTAGATTTATAGGTATATTTTTTAAGCCCCAAATCATAGCATAAATGATATATACGCTAAATTAATTCCTCAAAAAATAGTAATTCAATTAGATTTTAATAAAATAGTAATTTAGAAGGGGCGCCCGGGCATCTGCCTGGGCCAAACATCTAGTCTTAAGTTACGGGAGCAAATTAAATCTAAATTTTTGGGTCGTGGAGGATGGGTTGACTCAAGTACAGGTTTGCTCTCAAGCCTCAACGAGGTCATGAATCAAAACTGAGACGAACTTGTCTTTCCCGTTAACATGAGGAATTCAATCTAATGGCGCAATAAAATTTCTGGTAAATGGTTCTTTTATTCGTATAATTAATAGCTAATCAATGGCCGATTTTTTATTTCGATCCGAAGCATATGTTACTCTATCACGGTTTTCTTTGGAGGAAGAATTCGGATACATGGTTGTTTTGTTCCTTTATTATTTTTTTTTTGTTGGTCCCTTTTTTTTTTATTTTTGGAGAAGTTTTGTTGGTCTTTCATGTGCATGATCGTGGCAGAGGCTGTATCCAGTATACCCGGGGGCACGGTGCCCCTTCCTATTTTTTACACGAGGAGTTCTTATTGTATTTTTTATCAATCTTTTTATGATTTGCAAGTTTAGTCTCTGTAATTTTTTTCTCTCTTCTTTAAAAAATATCTCTAATCTTTAAATGATCATATCTCATAATTCGTAAAGAATTAGGGAACGTGTTATGCATGAAAATTATAGTACTCGTTGAGATCTATTCAACAAGATCCATATCTAATATTTTTTTCCAACTTAAAAATGATCAAATTTCTTTGTGCAGAATTAAGTTGGATATCCAGTACAAACAAGTTGGATAACCAACTTGTTTTAAATTGGTTATCCATTGTGTTCATGCTGATTATCCAATCAGTTTGAACTGGTTATCCATTTTGTTTCTATTGTTTATCCATTTGGTTATCCAACTTCTTAATTCAAAATAAGTTAGTTATCCATTTTCTTAAACTGAATATCCAATGTATTCATATTGATTATCCAATGCGCTAATACTGGTTATCCAATGGATTTACATGGTTATCCAAATTATTTGTACTGGTTATCCACTGTGTTCATTCTGATTATCCAACTTATTTGTACTGGATATCCATCCATTTGGTTTGTATGCATATCCAACTCTAATATTTCAACAAACATATCTCCCAATCCGGGAAGAATTTGTGAACGAATTATATATGAAATTTATAGTACTTGTCGAAATCCACAGTGAACATTTTTTCGGGCTTAAAAATGACTTAATTCTGATGGACAGAATAGAAGTGGTTATCCATCTTCTTAAACTGGATATCCAATGTGTTCATATTGATTATCCAATGTCAAATATATGATTGGATAATAAGTACGAACAGAATGGATAATCAGTCCAAACCGGTTGGATAATCAGTAGGAACACAACGGATAACCATTTTTCAAAGAAAAACGAAAAACACATTTCTTCATTTTCTGCCCGTAAAATTTAAATGCATTTAAAGTTCAAAAAAAATATTCAACATGGATCTTATCGGATAGATCTCGTCGAGCACTATAAATTTCATATGTAATTCGTGTTATAATTCTTTACGAATCAAAAGATACAAGGAACACAACAATATGAATGTAAAATAAGTTGCTTATCCATCTTCTTAAACTGGATATCCAATGTGTTCATATTGATTATCCAACTTCTTTGTGGTGGTTATCCAGTATTTTTTTTTCCTTGCTCTTTTATGAAAATGATTGTCAAACTTTTTGTACTGATTATCCATTCTGTTTGTACTTGTTATCCAATCATATTTTTGACATTCACTCTTCAAAAAAAAAAAGAAAGAAAGAAAAAATGATTGGATAAGCATTGCAAACAATTTGGATAATCAATAGAGATGAGAGAGAAAAAAAAGTCACAAGGACTAAACTTGCAAAATATATGAAAATTGAGAAAAACGTACAATAAGAACTAGTAGTGCAAAAAATAGGAGGGGGTACACGGTGCCCCCGGGTATACTGGATAAATTGCCATCGTGGCAAATGATTTTTTTTTTTTTTTTGGATTAACATATCCACACATGATCATTATAAACTTGTTAATATATCTTGAAAATTAATGACCTCTATGGATATTTCATTTTTTGTTCTTTTTATTGTTTTTTGCCTGCCCAAGTGAAGTCTTTTTTCCGAACAAAATTATGCTCCCTCTGTCTTAAAATAATTGTTCAGTTTAAATTTTTACTTATCTATAGTATTATACTAAGAGAGAAACTAGAGAGAGAAAACAAAAAAGAATTCTAAAGGTGTCACATAGAATAAAATCCTGTGTGTCATTTTCCTATTGGTTGAGTCAAAAAATATTTACAACAATTATACTAACAGTTCTTCAAATTTTATGTAAATAAAGTTTTATCAAATGGCATTTAAAACTATAGTTTAAATAGGAAAATAAAAATTAATTAAATTTAATAGACGGAATTAATGAACATTAATGCACCAGAATTATTCCCTCCCAAAAATAATCCCTTCCAAAAATAATCCCCAATTAGTATTAATTGATTAATTTAAATTATAAGTTCAAAGGGATAAGGCATTTATTATTTTCAACATTAATTCACCGGGATTTTTTACCCCAGCTAATTCGAATAAAAAAAAAAAAATCCCTCTACAAAATAATCCCTAAAATCACTACTTGATTGATTTAAAACCTAAGTTCAACGTGCGAGAAAGTGGGAATTCTTTAGTGATTAAAAACTAATCAAATTTAATTGAAAAAGACTAATCAACATTAATGCAATGGAAGTTATTTCCCACCAATCTTATTCCTTAATCAACGTGACGTTATCATCTTTATTCCATAGTTATGAATTTTACTTTAGTTACTGGTTATGATATCTCATTCAGACATTCACTATAAATATCCACTTCGGTCTAACTCTAACATGTACAATGACAACCGGTGAAACACTGACGAAGCATCTTATATATTTTTACAAAACATCTTTGCGGCGACGACCTCACTCCGATCATGTTTTATTTAACATATAAGGTGTCTCTTTCTCCAATTGTGTACAATCTTGATTAACATGCGTTTTTAACCGTGTAGACATAAATTGCTTTGATTTATATGACATGTAACATCTGATTTATTATTTTGGTGGTCTTTTTTACTTTTATTTGTATATAATCCTTATACATATTCCATTATTTAATTATATTTTTGGCATACAATTTATAAAATATTGTCATTTCAAAGTATATATAACAATTTTATTTATCACGATCTAATTTAATTTTAATCATATATTTATTATTACAGACCAGTTACTTTATTTGTATTAATCACATTTAAAATTTAAAAATATATTTTAATAGATGTATATGTATAAACTCCGCACATCGTGCGGGTTTACATCTAGTAGTATAAATTATTTAAAGTAAAAATTTAAAATGTACAATAATTTTAGAGGAGAGAGAACAAGAAATGCACGGCTTCCATTATATTCATGTTAATGATGCCAGGGGGTTCATTGAAGATGACTTCAAATTGATGCATTCTAGCTATTAGTACAGTCAAATAATAGCTATTACTATAACCAATTGCCAGATGAGATAATGCTCAATCATCTCAGATCATAATAATCTGAGATGCCTACAGAAGTGCATTGTTTTTTCTATTGCAGATCATCTTCCGTTTTAGAAAAATTGTTCATTTTGTAAAACAAAAATAGCATAACAAAATAAACTTTTGCTGAAGTAAATAAAAGTCAATAGGAAGACTTGAAAGTAGCCATTGACTTAAAACAAATAATAATGCTAGCTGGATCATCAATTATAAAGAGTTTGGTAACGCTTCTCAATGACAACCCACTATAAATTTGAAATTATCTGCCTTCAGTTTGAAATTTTTCTTTAATTTTTATTTTTGGAGACAAATAGTCAACTAAACGTTGTTCTTTTTAGGTTTTAAGTACACATGATGAAGAGAAGACTTTCGACCTCATATGATTTAACATTTGAATTTAATTGAAACAAATAGTTAATTCACTTTAAAATTAAATAATCTGTATTACCATTGATTTTTTACGGAGTTTAATATGCATGGAAGGTTATAATCTAGTGATAAACTTCCCATCTGCGATGGAGTGGGGTTTATGGGTATACAATAACAGAGAAATGAAGTCTAATGTGCACTCAGTGATTTTTTTTACTCCACTAATTTATTATATATATATATATATATTTAAAAACCCGACGCCTATTGGTGCCTTGGGGTACATGTGCCATTACCACAAATTACTGGAAAAATTAAAGGCTTATATTATGAGGAAAGATCTTAGAAGGAAAAGGAAATACTCCCTCCGATCTTTAATATAAGACATTTTAATTTGTTCTACATTTAACATAATATGTATTTTTAATTGAAAAAATAACCAAAAAAATATTTCATAACAATCAAGAGAATACAACAAACGTGAAAATATGTATTTTAAGATTTTTTCGTTAATTGAAAATGTATACTAAGTAAAACTTAAAACAAAATCAAAATTATTTATATTAAGGACGGGAGGGAGTACAAACAATTATAAAGAAGGAAATACTACTATTACCAGGGAAGATCTTAGAAGCAAAAAGCTATACTCTTGATTTGTTTATCTGAATCTTTCTTTTGGAATTTTAATTATGCTGATTATATGATACAAATTTTTTTTGAAATATTACGGTTAATTAATTATAATTTTATAAGTGTCAATTAAAATAATACTCCTTTTTTTTCAAAAAATAACTCACATTAAGATAATACAAATACCAAAATTTAATTATTGTGAACTATCTTTTTAGCATTGAGAGAATATAATAAAATTACGGCCACTTAAAACTTGTACTCCATCAAAAAGCTAGGTGGAATAAATCGTGGTACATTTTCGAATAACCAAAGGAAGTAAGCACTAAATAATGATACACATTTCTGTTCTTATTATTATTCGTTGTCATAATTCACCATCTCTTTTTCGATTCCAAGAACTAGAAGCAGCGGATAATGTACATATTCTACCGCGGGATAGAGCATACCAAGAGTCAACGCAAAATATAAACGTATACGCGTCTACAAAACTATATATAAATAACTTCTCCAAAGTCCTAAACCCAAATTCTCGAACAAATCCACGAAAGAAATTAAAAATTTCCCCCAAAAAAAAAAAAGAAAAAGAGAAGGAAAAAGAAATGTCTGGGTACCCTCACAATTACGGTTACGGAGCACAACCACCGTACGGTGCTCCTCCGCCACCGTCCTCCGCCCAGACCTACGGAGCGCCACCGGCATCCGCACCATACGGAGCACCGCCGGCATCCGCACCATACGGAGCACCGCCTCAGTCCGCTCAGCCCTACGGGGCACCTCCACCGGGGCAATCTCCCTATGCTCCGGTCTCTGCTCCCTACTCCGGTGGTCCTTCAGCCCCGTCATACTCCTCCGACTACGGGAAGCCTCCCAAAGAGAACAAACCCTCTGCTCCTTACGGAGCTCCTCCTCCCTCAGCTCCTTATGGTGCTCCTCCCCCGCCGCAGCCTTATGGTAGCCCTTTCGCGGCTTTGGTCCCCTCTGCTTTTCCTCCTGGTACCGATCCCAATGTCATAGCTTGCTTTCAAATTGCTGATCATGATGGGAGTGGGTTTATTGATGATAAGGAGCTCCAAAGTGCACTTTCGTCTTACAATCAGAGCTTTAGTCTGAGGACGGTTCATCTTTTGATGTATACCTTCACCAATTCCAACGTCCGGAAAATTGGTATGGTTTCTTTCCCCCAATTGTTGTTTTACATCAAGTTTCTGTTCTTTGTGTTGTTTTTCTTGGTGATTTTTTTCGATTGATTTTTTAGTATGGCTTTACTGAATTAGTTTATGGGAGTGGTTGGGCTGGTGGTCAATGGATCATATGCTCTGACATTTAACGCGTATGAGTTGTCGTATATAATGTGTATGCTATTAAGGACGATGTTGACTTGTGGCTTGTAAAAACTGTTTACCAATTAACATTGAATCATTGGTTAATTAAAGGATCGTATTTCTGGTTTGAATTGGTTCAGTAGATCAGGGATTAAGATCCTTCTTGGAGGACCTGCTAGAGGTTTTTGAATGGATTTACATTCTTCTGTTGAAGATTTTCATTTGACCTCAAGCTTGTAAAGGTTTTACTGGAGGCACAATGAAAATATTGAATTGAAATAATGGGATTTGATTGAAAACAGGATTGGCAGGGTAGGTGTCATATCTGCATTCGGACCAACTTATGGTAACAATGGAGAATCATCTTTGATAGGAAGAAAGAATGGATTGAATGTGAATGCATTTATGAGAAGTAAAAACAGATAGAACTCCTCAGATTAGATTCCATAAAAAGTCATGTTTGTATTATTACCTTGCTTCTCTAGATTTGCTCGAGTGGGTAGGGCCTTTTTCTTCTGGTGTTTCGTGGTGCTAGTTGCTGAAGCTTCATCAGCTAATATGCTTGGTATTCAAGGCAGCTATCTTCCTGTAACAATTTCTCTTGACACCAAAGTTTATGGTGTTTCTGGTGGTTTAAATATGTCCAAGTTTCGGAATGTTGCGTCACTAAGTTTCAGGAGGCACCCTAAATCTGAAATCCTTCTAATGGGTTGAACCAATAGTTTTTTCATCTGTGCGGTGCACGTGCCTATTTCAACTGTACAAACCAGTCATCATGCTATTCTTGTTGAACTGCTTCTTACTTTGTGTCTAAACCCTATCTATTATCTTCTCGAGAATATTAGTGGCTCCTTCTTCCTTTTATTTAAAATATGCTTTTCTTCACCAAGTTAATGTATATGCTGACCTTCTTATGTTGCTGTAAACAGGTCCCAAGGAGTTCACCTCACTTTTCTACAGTCTTCAAAACTGGCGGGTAAGTTGAACAGGAGTAACAGCAGAGGTTCTGGAGCTCATTAGTATCTCTAGAACTTTTGCCTTTGCATGCATCTGATCTGTATCTGCTGCTTGTAGGCAACTTTTGAGAGATTTGACAGAGACAGGAGTGGCAAAATTGATGCATCAGAATTGAAAGAGGCACTGCTTAGCCAGGGATTTGCAGTATCACCCGTGGTGTTGGATTTATTGGTGTCTAAGTTTGATAAAACTGGGGGGAAGAATAAGGCCATCGAATATGATAACTTCATTGAGTAAGTAAAAAGTGTTATATGTGGATCAATGCTTACATTTGTTTCACTTCTGCAATTACTATCATTTTCTATAACGGTCTAATGATTTTGTTTCTTTTGCTTGGATTAGGTGCTGCCTCACCGTTAAGGTATGTGAACTCCTTACTATTTACCCTTCACAACTTTAATTGTTTCTCAATTACATTTGTTTTTTCCAGCAGCTTTGGAGCTGTTATATTTGGTATGTTAAGCAATTTGTACTAAGTTATAATGTGTTATTTTGTAGGGGTTGACGGAGAAATTCAAGGAGAAGGATACAGCATACACTGGCTCCGCAACTTTCAGTTATGAGGCGTTCATGTTGACAGTGCTGCCTTTCCTCATAGCCTAGTGTTGTAAGGCAAAAATTGCCACTTCAAAATTTCAAATTTCTCTAGGTTGGGTACTTGCGTTGATGTTTTATGTTTTGTTTCATATGGGTTGGCCTTTGTGTTTGTTGAACTGAGATCTACTGAGTCTGTACAGTAGGTGAAAGTGAAATGGTAGTTGGTTCAATGTCATTTTCTTTGACGCATTTGTTCGGAATTCCCTTTTTTTTGTAGTATTGAATTTATGGTTTACTTTTGCCTTGGTCTCCTTTTCAAAGTTAATTTGTTTATTATCGAAAGCGCTTTGTAGCTCCCAAAGCCCAAAAAATATCTCCTGTCCGTTAATCAAGTTACTCATCTTCGTTTTCAAGCATAGAGAAGAGAAGACAAAATCACGCGATCTTTTTTTTCTTTCTTTATATTTGCAGGGTGTCCACGGTCGGCAATAGTCACTAATATCTCTCGTTGTATATTTGGTATCTATCTTTCTTCTTGCAGCGACGAAATTGTCAAAACTCAAAACAATGGTCTGCATGAATTGTCCTCCTAAACCGAACTCTCTGGAACGAGCAATCATGGAATCATGTCCATTATTGTTGTCAATTCGTGTGATCTGAGATCGTATCACGTAATCTATACTCACTTACATTTGCAGATTAATTGTTGAAGTGGACGTAGGTTTACCAATAACTTGTGTGATTCCTGATAATTTGCATTCACCTATAACACGTTGTCTTTTTTTTTTTTCAAAATTCACACCACACCTATCCAAACTCACTATCGAAACTCTTGTTGCATATGAACATCACACTGGCAACAAGCACTCGCAAAATCTCGCCAAGTTCTTACAATATTGAAGATCTTAATTAATCCATTCTACACTCAGTTCCAACAGTTGACTTTCATTAGGAAGTATATATGTTGGTGGTATTCATTACGGTTGCCTGAAAAGGTTTGGAGTTTCCAAAATCTTGCGTTTGCATTGAATAGCTTCTTGGAAAGCTTTGCTGAAAGAGCAAACAAAAGTAGTTTAGTAAATTGGTAAGTAAAGAGCAACTGCTACATACGACTTATTACGAGTATCTCCTATCAAATGGCAACGGAAGAGATTGAATGTATTAATAAAAGTTATTAAAATGAAAAAACAATGAAAATTATTGTGTCATTGGCATTTTCAATTGGAGGTTGACGGAATGAATAATAGTATTTAGAAACTGAAATTCAAAATGCAATCGTAAACACCTCCATAATCCATAGAATATCCTTCTCCCATACATAATGACAGAGACACCTTTTTCAATATACAATACGAATCCATACCGGAAGGGAATAGCTGTTCATACGATCATCTGCCATCTATAAAAAGACGACTTCTTGGCTCAAAAAATACAAGTGCTTGTTTGTACATCATCTTATATTTCATTTTGACACTTAAAAGTGGAAAGTGTTTTAAGTTAAAAACTAAATAGAAAATGAAATATGTTGTTTGGATAGTATTTTGAGCAAAAAGTTATTTGGATGTTGGTTTTGAAAAAAATATTTTGAACTACATTTTGAAAATATCAAGTACAAGTCATCACTAAACAATTAAATACTGTCAATTATAATCACTGCAGAAAAGAACTTTTCCAAAAATAATCACTCAACAACGGAATCCTGTCAAATTTGTCACTGAACTATTTGTAGTTCTAAAATGGTCATTACACTAGCAAAACGTGTTTCAAGTTGGAATTTAAAATGTAAATCAGAAATTCGTTTGGATGATAATTTTTTTTTCATTGAGTTTTGTGTTTAAGAGATAAAATGAGTTAAAATGTAAAATAAGTGTTTGTCAAAACAAAGCGCATCATAAAATCCGAAAAAGAGAAAAAACATTCCAATACTCCAAAGGAGAAAGAAAAGTAAGAACAAAAAAATGTCAGGGTATCCCTACAATTACAGTTACGGTGCTCCTCCACTACCGTCCTCCGGCGCCCATCCCTTCGGCGGCCCATTTGCCGCTCTGATTCCCTCTGTTTTTCCTCCCGGAACTGATCCCAGCATCGTATCTTGCTTTAAAATTGCTGACCACGATGATAGCGGGTTCGTTGATGATAAGGAGCTCCAAAGGGCACTTTCGTCTTATGATCAGAGCTTCAGCTTGAGGACTGTTCATCTCCTCATGTATACATTCACCAATTCCAACGTTCGAAAAATTGGTGGCCTTTCCTTTTCCCCAATCACAAATTTTCTGGTTTTAATTTTTGTAGCCTTTCCTTTTCTTTTGATTATTTTTTGTTTCCTTCTATGCTGAATAAGTTTATATGGAGTGGTTGGGGTAGTTGGGTTGGTCAATTGTTCCACAATGTTATGAAGTTTAACGCGTATTAGTTGTCTTATAATGAATATACAGAGTTTAGTTTAGGTGAGAAGAGATAATTTGAATTTGGTTTGCTTGATCAGGGGCCTAAGAACCCTTTTGGAAGAACTGTTTGAGATTGTTGACTTTTTGTTTTCCCTGAAACGTTCTTCTGTGAAATTAAGGTTATACAGTTTTTCTTACAGGTTAACATTTGGGAAAACTAGTGAATCTGTTTCAATGCTGGTTTCGGTAGTATGGTTATTGGTGTTTTGCAGTAATTTCAGATGATGGTAACACCAAAGTTACATCTTTGAAATCATTTGTTTTGGACCTTTATGATATAGATGGTAGTGGTACTTTTGATTTTCTATGTGCAAAGTAGTTATTGTTGTTGTCGTTCTGGTTTCTTAGTTTCTGCCTTTTTTCCACTACCATTTTACATTCTGATGAACTGAGTTTATCTGTACCTAATACTTTGGCCTTACATTTGATGTCACCTTAAACAGGTCCCAAGGAGTTCATCTCACTGTTTTACAGTCTTCAAAACTGGAGGGTAAGTTGAATAAGATAACAGAGCGCACTAGCCAGTACTTCGAAAATGTTTCTTCATTTATCTGATCTGTTTGTGCTGCTTGCAGGCAACTTTTGAGAGATTTGATAAAGACAGAAGTGGTAAAATCGATGCCTCGGAACTGAGAGAGGCGCTGAGTAGCCAGGGATTTGCAGTGTCGCCCATTGTGTTGGATTTACTGGTGTCTAAGTTTGATAAAACAGGTGGAAAGAATAAGGCCATTGAATATGATAATTTCATCGAGTAAGTGTAAACTGGTTTTCGTATGTTTTACTTTCTAAGTACTAATTTTTGTTTTTCATAGATCATCTAATTATTTTACTTCGACTTCGCTTGATTTAGGTGCTGCCTCACCGTGAAGGGTTTAACAGAGAAATTTAAGGAGAGGGATACAGCATACACGGGCGTGGCAACGTTCCCCTATGAGGCTTTCATGTTAACTATTTTGCCTTTCCTTATAGCATAGTGTTTGTAAGGCAAAATATGCCAAGCTTCAGAATTGCCTTAGCTAGGTCGCTTTGATGTTGCATATGTTGCAAGAAGTTGGTCTTTAATGTTGTTCTTTGCGTCTGTTTCGCTTTTGATTTCATACAACTATCAACGTTTGCTATGTTCTATTCTAGTAATGTTTTTACTACTCCATCTATCCCAAAATTATTGTCCAATTTGAGATTTCACTTTTAGTATAATTTGAAATAGAAATGAAAATCCAAACTGGACAGTGGACAATAATTATGAGACGGAGGGAGTATATGAAACCCGCGCCTTGCACGGGCAGAAAAAAGTCGCGATCAGATAAATGTCCCAAAAATAAATGTCTATAAGAGGTGTTGCTTTGAACAAAATGAACCCCATAACATTAAATGCAAACATATATCCTATTGCAAACACATCCTATCGACATCAAAGAATATCGAAAACAAAGTTGAAAACTGTTTTTAAACTAAGGATTTGGTTAGCTTAGTTATTTAGGTTGGTAACACTAACTTGGAAATACTCTTCTCATCATCGCAATGAAGTATTCCCGCTGTCCTAAAATTATTGTACAGTTTGAAATTTTATTTTTAGTATAATTTGAATTAGAAATAAAAACCCAAACTAGACAATAATTATGGGATGGAGGGAGTAGTTAACATTAGTTACCATAATGAACTGTACTATTTTCAGTATAATCCACAAACTAAATTGCAGATTTTTTTTTGAAGGAGATAAAGAGAGTATGAATTAGTCACCATATGATTGTAATATAGCTAAACGACCAGTATTTTCTAAAAAAAAAGTTCATCATAATAGGAGAATAATAAATAAATAAAAAATGTCTAAAAATAGTAGAATTTCAACATTCAACTTTGATATGTCCTCAAGAACACTCATGATGATTCAATGATATTGTCCATTGTCAACATTTAGCTCAGGATACATAATATTGACAGAGGAGGATTGTGGCGTTGTTTTTCCTTTAAATTTCATAAAATTATTAAGAGTTTTGACTAAACGCCTGGTCTGAAAGGAGAAAACAAATCAAACAAATTGAACAACAAACCCAAAAAACGTATTGTTATTATTTTCGCTGAAAGGGACAGATGTATAGTACTTAATTCTGACTGTAAAAGTTATTTTGGGCTCCCATCTAAAAAACAATTGGCAATGAGTAGGATGGCCTATGAAACTTATTTACAGAGTCACTTATATTCACGGTGGCGATGTGTAACAAATTATACATCGTAACGCCCTCCCTCAATTCCAATGGGTCTTTGAACTTTTTGCCCATAGAACTTGGATCGGAACAAGAACAGAAAGCCCACGAGTCAACGGTCTAGTGAGAGAAAACCAGCTATATCGCTGGGTCGGTCTACAACAAACCCACTGTCACGATCCCGGATTAAATTGATCTAAATTAATAGTTCAGGGAGTTGATTGTAAAACCTGGAATCTATGGAAATATAAATAGAGATCCGGGGTCAAAGATCAGTATCGAAAAATAGATTGTTGAATTGATATTTCAGAATTTGTATGGAGTTTTCCCCAATTCGGGTTGGACGAACCCTAAACGTCACCTTTTCCCATCTTCGGCTTGCCGGAATTCCCCATTTCCGTCGATTCCGCCACCGGGATCTGACAAGTTGGCCTCAGAGCCGGTCAATTCTTAGCTGTGTTGGTTCGATTTCATCCATTCTTCCGCCTGACACTCCGTTCGTTCGCGAACGAATTTCCTCTTCATCGATTTTGTTTCAGAAATCGATTCTTGATCCATCGGATTCAATCTCTGAATTCGTTGTTTCGTCCTTTCCATTTTCTCCGACTCAGTTGACGAATTCCTCTTTCGTTCGATTTGTTTCTTGGATCGCTTCAATCTTCCGATTCTTTCCCTTCGATTGTTTTCTTGATCTGTGATTACCTTCAAATCACTTCAAGAAATGGCGAGATCCAGATCGGTGATTGAGAATACGGCTAAGGATTCACACACGGAGGAAAGTTTTTTCCGTCTGGAAACCCTAGAGTCGAAGTTGTCTTCCATGGATTCCA